CGATCTCCCTCGGGATTATTGTCAAGACAAAGTTTGTTTTAACACATTTGCACACAAACTAGCTTGCATTAAAGGAGCTGTCGACGCAGTATGTTTTTTATGGCACTCTTCTAAATCTTTCATCGGGATAATTTCTTTTTCAGTTTCTGTCTTTCAAACTCCAGGTCCTGCCATTTGTGGTCTCTCTAACAACTTGATACTCTAGCTTTATTAAAATGGATTTTTTTTTTTTTTTTTTTTTTTTTACAGATGCCTTTTTTCTATTCTAGGATTTTTTTTTCTTTTTCAGGGTTACAGTAGTCTCTGCAGAGTACACCCTTAGTTGAGTACAGTGGAGTAGTAATTATCTTTGAGCCTCAAACTGCTTGATTACTGATTGAGGTAGTGTGCTCTTGTTCTGACAAACCATCTGTGTGGATCAACCAGAAATGCTCACTTTGCACTTACATGCCTATGGGTTACCTGTCAGAAGCACTACAGCATTTAAGGGCATAAAGATGTCACAGTATTGTGTACATTCTAAGTAAGAAAAAGTTAACTATAAATTCTGAGCGTCACAAAATATAGATTGCGTTTTTTTTCCTCTCCGTCAACTCCACCTCTTGGTTTCACAGGGTTTACCTGACACAAGCGACTCTTTATACCTTATCAGTGTTGTAAAATTATTACAAACTAGTTGTGTGTTCGGTATCATATTTCTATTTGTTGTCTTTCCCTCTAAAGTTGCCCAGTTTTCACTCCTGCCAAAGACAGACTTATTATATACATATTAAACAGTGACATTATTTCTTCTGAAGTAGAAACTATTTTACTCGTTTGTTATGAAAGTAATTTGCAAGGTAGTTGAACTCAAGATGCAAATTTACTTAAGTGCACTGTGTGGTCAGTGGACACGAGGCTGGTAGGTTCCCATAAAGGGGAATCCTAGTGTTACAGCATACTGTAACGTATATTAGACAATAGTGTGCTTTTAGTGTTGTGGCAACACTTTGGGAAGGCCCCGTCTTGTTTCAACATGAAGTGGCTCTGTGCATTTAGCAATATCTGTAAAGAAATGTTTTTCTGAGTTTGGCGTGGAAGAGCAACGTAGACCTGCAGAAAGCCCTGAGCACAAACCCATCCAGCAGCTTTGGGATGAAGTGTAAGCAGACCGTAAGATCGGCCGTGTCATTCAGCATCAATTTCCAACCTCACAGCGTGTCTATATGCGCAGATCTCTACAGCAAGCCTCGGAAATACTGTGAAAGGTTTTCCTTTCAGTGGAGCTGTTTGAAACTGTATATTAGTCCCCGTAGGTTTGAAATGAAAACTTTTAACACTTCTGCTGTCCACATACTTTTGACCATATAGAAGACATTGCTGCCTAACAGTGACATTTTGCCAGACTAAAATCTGAATTACATAAAACTCTATTTTCTCTTTTTGTGTGTTTCAGATGGAGAGCCTCCTGGCCTGCTTTAGGAGCGCACAGAGCAGTTCATCTGATCCTGGTGATAAACTGAACGTCTTTAGGTAGACAAATGATAGGTGATACGTCTGTATCCATCTGCAAACATGTGGTAAGGATTAGAAGCCTGGACGCAGACAGTGCAACGAGTGCAGAAGATGAGAAGAGTCTGAAGTGGACGGACCATGACTGCGGTTCTGGTGATGCTGTAGCAGCACGGAATGGTTTGTGGGTTACACTGAGATGCAGGCCATACTGTGCTGCCGCAGTAAAGCCTGAATACACAACATGGCCTTGAACCTTGCAGTTCCTCAACCTGTTGCGTTGTTTTTTTAGTGACAAACTACAACATGCTACATACAATTGATATCCTGATGGTAAAAAGTTGGTTGGATATTTATCCCTCTCATTTTCTGGTCGCCTTACTGTAGCAGCACGTAAATATTGGAGTTAAGACTAGCTGAAGCCTCCAGTATTGATCGTGCTGCTGAAGCAAAGCTGACCGCTCACAATCAGCACAACTAACCAGCTCAGAGTTTACTCCCACCACCCTGCTGGTGGCAAAGAGATGTTTACAGGTACAATGTTTACACACACATTTTACTTTAGTCCTGGACACTGTCTCCTGTTGACAGCTGAAATGTGTTCACACCACTGTTCTGTTTGCACACCTGGAGAAATAAAAATTTAAATTGGCTTTTGTCTTTGTAATGTGTTTTGAGCTTGCTGTTGATCACAAGGCTGTCTATATACATTATATTATGTGACGCTTCAAGGGTTCCTGATAGCGAAAATCCCGCACATGGCTTTAAGAAGTTGCGCCATCCACACAGAAGAAAGGCGCATTGTGGCCTGCGTGGCCTCGCCGCAGCGCTGCTGGGTGTGTGGGCCTGCTCAGCGTCAGGGGGACACGGATTTGCTGCGAACTCAAATCAGTGCAGCCGTAGATTGTATACACCAGAATTATTTATGGCATATTAAATTGTTTTCATTTTATATAAGGTCAGAACGCTTTTCTTTTTGAAAAAAATTTTTTTTAAGACTATTTCTTATGGGTTTTATCCTAACTGTGCACAGCGCACTTGTCGACCAAGACGCTTTATACTGCTGCGTATTCGGACTGCTTTGTGCCTACGAATCCTTTGATATCGTCTGCTGTTATATAAAATAACCCTGCAGTTCTGTTGCGAATAATATGGCGTCCCAGCTAAAACCCTCCATTTTAAGTGGTGTTGGATACGAGCGCGGAGCTGCGCTCTGCGCTGCACCAGGACGTCCGACGACGATAATCCCAAATCAGGCTCGCTTTAAAAAATGCCTTCATTCTCTTTGACTTACAGGCCTTTTGGGATAATATCGCGACTGTTGGTAAAGCTCTCGCTTTCGTTAAATTGTACAGCTGATGAACAATAACGTGCACAATGAAATAAAAAACTTTAAAAACAGATAAATCAAGCGTCTTGGAGTGGTTACGCACGTTTTCAATATTTTACGCACTTGCTTTTTTTAAATGAAATAAACAAAATTGAGCCAGTTTTTCTTTGGTGATTATCTTTTTCATGGTGACCACTGATATTTTGTCAGAACACTTTAAGGCCTCCTAATATATCGTCACGCGTGTTGAACACACTCGTGTTGCAGCATTTTTCTCCCATTTGGCCTTGTGGGCCTCTTTTTCTTTCTTTCTTCTTTTTTTTTTTTTTAGTGATTATTATGAATGCTCGTATTTTTCCTACAACCATAATTCTAAAACCAGTAAAATTAGGAAGTTTTGCAAAGGTGGCATTTATGCAAAAATTATTCTAGAGAAAACAGAATAAGGATTTTCGTATCCTTTATTTTTTTTTCTTTGCAGAAACGTCTGCATTTTGCAAATGGAAAAAAAATATCATGTAACCTATTTTATAATATTCAGGCGGATTCTCTTTAATATGATATTATAATGTGTGTGTGTGTGTGTTAACAGGGTCAACTGAACTGATTATCGATAATTTCATAAATGACTAAATTCTTACATCTTTTCGTGAGTGTAGTGATTTAAATGTAAAGTGTGCTGCGTATTTTTGAAAAGCAGTCACCTCCGCACACCAAAATGTAGAAGCAGTGTGTATAGTGACGTGCGGCCTGAAAATGCACATTTTGTCCTACAGCTGGTCAAATTTATTACTGCTGATTTTAAAATTTACATTTACCTGCTTCTACATCGCCCGTGTGTATTTTATCAGCGTGTATAATTTTGGAACGACAGTACACCCAGTGGCACGGTCCCGTTTTGCGCATGTGTACATTGGTTGCAAGCAGATTTTTCAGAAAACGTATAAAATTGACTTCTGTGGAAAACTTAAAATTACAAATTAAATAGGGGAGGAAAATACTGATTTAATAACATGAGTAATAAAAGAGGTCCTCTCTTAAATCACCGCCTCGGAGCCACGGCTTATGAGAATATAAGAGTGCGCAACATCATCCAGGGATGCGCCTCTAATTGCACTTCTTATTTTTTATTTTATTTTTAAAAAAATATTTATTCACCACTGAATGAGTAGATGGTGACTTTAAGTCTCATTTTATGACCTGTCACCATATTCTCACCTCTGATGTAAAGTGACTGACCGTGCGCTCCACATGTTTAAGAAGACAAACCTCAGCTACACACACTTACTCCACAGTTCTTCTAAATTTGGATCGAGTTTTTCCGGCTATGTTTAAATTTGCGTGACATGGCAATTAAAATATTAATGTAGACTAGTACCTTTTATTTTCATCCTATATTTGCCTGGCAACAGAAAGCTATATATATGTACAGGCGTGCCATGACGTACATCCTGAATTATGGTCAGTGCTGACATCACTGATACACTTTGTGGTCTGATCTTGGGATTTATTTTATTTTATTTCTTTTCCTTTTTATTTATTTATTTTTTACCTCGCCTCCAAAAAGCAGGAGCAAAAAACATGAATGATCCTCGCTCACAGTTCATTTTTGTCCTTTTGCTCTGACCTATTTCAATGATAATCCCAATAAAATCTTATTGAGCACATTTAAGTTACACAATTGGATTTTTGATTTTAGACTTACGAGTCAGTTTTATTTACATTGAGATGCTTATCAGGGGAAAAAAAAGCACCGTGCAGTATTATTCAAACAGCCTTTTTTTTCTTTTGCCTTTGCAACGAATGACTCACATGACCTGAAATTCATTTTGTGCAGAGACAATCACGTAAATCTTTCTTTATCATTTATCTGATCGTGCAAACGCATCTGTCAGCCTTTTGAGATTTCGTGAAAAACAACGTATCACGGAGCAAGTGCTCGTTATTTCTTCTCTTGCACTGTGTCTGCAGCCTGCTGAATATTTCACACGGGCCCTGTTACGCAACGTTTGTAACCTTGAAGAGGTTGCAGCATCACTGTGGTGCCGATGCGCTCTGTGGGGAAGAGGCCGTGGATTACACTCTGTTTCTTTCATTACTCACTCGCTTGTGTCCCTAAATAGCTGCCTGATTTGGCCTGTCGCACTCCAAAAAAAAAAAAAAAAAGCAAACATGGAAGTGACTTAAATTTCTCACTTTTATTTAGTTGATCTTGGACACGTAGAAAATTGTCATAGTGTTTAGAAAAAGAAGGAATGGATTGCACATTCGTGGAAGAAAGTGTGATTAAGCGTCTATATGTAGACGCAGGTTGCAACCTCTGAGGATTAGTGGTTGATTCTGTTTGATTCTATGGCTTCACTGAGGTTGCAGCATGTGCGCTTCAAAATAAAAAGAAAAAAAAATAGAGAGAGACTTGGTAAACAATGAGGTGTCTTCACTAGTGTTGTGCATCTCATTTGGAAATGATTTTGTAGTTGTGAGATGCCACAGGCCAGGTGTTAAAATAACTCACAGCTGCCAATAAAGTGGACGGTGGAGTCAATTAACCTCCCGATGCATTCCTGACCTGCATCCATCAAACTTGTGCACATGTCACTCATCTCCCGCAGGTACACACCGGTGTGGGTGAGCTGAGAGGAAACTACACTGACAAATGGTTCAATCTTCGAGGTCATGTCGATGTTGAGCAGCGGCGGCAGCAGCAGCAGCGGGAGGAGCAGGAGCAGTGGCAAACTAATCACCAGGATCATCCATCTGGGCACTGCCATCCGCGAGTCCCCCGTTCGGTAGCAGCCGTTCTCGTGTGGGACTGAGATCTTGTCCACTTCTCGGAGCCTCAGCGAGTCCCACTTCTTCACATCAAAATTACGCACAAGGGGACCCACGTCCATGTCTTTCCGAGAGGGCAGCGGCGTCTCCTTGAGGAAGCCCAACTTCTCTCGGAACTCTTGCATCTGCTGCAGAAAGCACAGGGGGTCGGACACGCTCCTGAAGGAGTCCGCGATGCTGAGCGCTCGGCTCTGCTCCTCCAGCGCTGCGCTCAGCTTGGCGATCTCCGGGTCGTACGCTTGCATCACCACCAGCTTGAGCGTTTCGAAATCGGACAGGATCTCGTTCTTTTTACATTCGAGGGAGCTGATGAGTTTGTCGAAATAATCGGCTACCTTTTCTGCGTCCTTGGTCACCGACTGAAGCGCCTTTTTCTTACTGGCTTGTAGTGTCTCCAGGCAGGACAGGATATCTGCGCTCTGCCAGCTCTCCGCTCCGCTAAGCAGCTCTTCAAACGCCTCCTTCTCCCGCTCATATGCATCCTCCAAGGAGCTGAATTTGTGTCCTCGGTGGTCATCCGTCGTTGCGCAAAATCCACAAATGAGTTTCAAGTCAGTGGCGCAGAATATGTTGAGCGGCTGGCCGCAGTGTTGTTTACAAACACACATCTTGGGCAGAACCTTGATTTTGCTGAACTTCTCCACTATTCCGCGCAGGGAATAGTTGATCTGCAGGCTGTTTGCGCCGTTGTGAGGGGTCTCTTTGCGGCATGTGGGGCATTTGAAGGGTGTTCTGAAAGCTGGACCTCGGTAGCCCTCCAAGAGTCCCTCCAAGCATTTCTTGCAAAAGCTGTGCGAGCACAACAAGACCCGTGGGTCCTCGAAGAGACCGCAGCAGATCGGGCATGTAAGTTCCTCTTCTAGCTGTTCCATTGAACCCTGCAAACACATCACCCAGGCGTCAAATCGGTGCTTCATTTAAATACAGAGAACCAATAAATCAGCACTTCATAAAATGCACCACATAACACTACGCACCCACATTCAGAGGCATGCAGCCCCGCGAGGCAGCAGAGGCAATAAATTACGCAAAGGATACAGATTTTTGCAGTCATGTTCCAGCTGTGTCTGGAGTATTCCCATCCTGAAAGTGAAACTGACTTGCATCGCTGTGCCCGCGTAAAAGGTTGGCACGAACCCTGCCAAAGGCTCCGCTTGCGCATTTAAGGTTAAGTAACATCCTGGATTTTCTGATGTCTTTCTTGTTGCCAGTCGACGTTGTAAGAAACTTAAAAACCTGCGTCGCACACTGGATGTGAGTCAAATAACTTTACAGATGTCAACTGTTAAAAACAAAATGATTTCCCTCCTTCAGCTTCGTATCGCAGAACAGCAGGGACGGTGGAAGCTGAGCCCTCAAATTACCCGTCGCCAAAACCAATCCAATGCGACAAATTATCGACAAACAGGGTTCGCGTTAGCGTTGCTCCTGTTGGCAAGGTACTGAAGGAGGGCTGTGACAGATTTTGCAAGCGCATAGTAACATGCAACTACTGGACCAAAAGAATCACTCACCAGCTGCTGAGACGCACAGTGCAACGCAATCATGGCGCTTGTTGCTGTGCAGACTTCGCCCTTTCCGGGTATGAAGTTAACCGTTTCAGTGGCGTGCAAGCGATTTAAAAGGCGCCTATTTCGTGTGTGATTACGCACGGATGAACTAGAATGCGTAATACTGTGTGGCACTTATGAAATGTATTGATTTGATTTGTTATTTGGCAGCTTTGTTGTGAGCTTGGGCATGTTTACGCTTTTGTCCTCGCCGGGTAATTTGCAGAGGGTCCCTGCCTGTGGGATGGGGGAGGGGCTGTTGCTATGCAAAACATTACAGCGTGAAAAACTGTCAACTAGGTTTTAGTCCCAGTTTGGCATCGCACGTTTTTTCTTTCTCTTTTTTCCCCTTCACACTGGTGCCACTTGAGTCGATCATGTTGCTACTTGTGAATATTTACACCTGCGATAAGTCAACGCGGTTAAATGCGGACAATGTGAGCTGCAGCAACTGATGTATATAAATAAAAAAGCTCTAGGCACCGTGTGTAAACAGAAACGGAGGAAAACTAACTATCAGCAACATTGTGCAGCCCAAACCTCCGAGGGTGCTCTGCGATTATGAATGGGGCATCACCGATTCAGGATTCATCCACCACCAAACAGTTGTTATTTCCCCCCAAATCCACTTTGCGCTCACTCGGGGTTATGTAACATCGATATCCAATAGTTACTTAGTCACGTGTAGAAATTTTGACCTTGATTTTCTTCCCTTGTTTCCATGCCATCAGGAGCAACTGCCTATCTTAGCCGCTGTGATTGGATACAGTGGGGGAGCAGGGGCTTATGCAGCTCCGACCTCCGCCGCGGGGGGTCGCTGCCGGGCTTTCGCCGGAGCTCTGACGCCTCGACGCCGGACGCTCTTTGGTGTCACGGTGTCGGGAGTTTGTTTCCGGATGTTTAGCTTAGCAGTTCAGGGGGGGCGAGAATGGCTGCGATGTTTACGTGTTGTCTAGGCTGCTGCGGAGAAGGGGGGACGGGGCATATTCCCCTCAAAGAGATGCCCACGGTTCAGTTAGACACTCACCACATGGGTAAGTGAGTTTGGCTTCACTTCTGACGGCTGCTGCTCGGACGGTTGGTGTCTGTTGGTGCGACATGATGGTTAGCTTCGCCGTTAGCTTTAGCTAGCTAGCCGATAGCTGCTAATAGTATTGTAACCTACGCTGCGAGGTTAGACTGCATCTAGTGGCATGAAATGGTTGCAGTTTGCTTTCCTAACGCTGTCATTTAATATACTTTCTATAGAAGTATCACTTTGATAAATGTAGTGAGAATTAGCATCTAACCTTAGCAACAACCGACTGAGCGCTTTGCTGCTACAACATTTTTACCTCCTGCTAAACTTCCCCTCAAAACACCTTTACGACATCTAAAAGTGCTCTCGTTTTAGTAAAAGTTATGTCTGATATCTGTTTTTCATGCAATTCGTGAAAACTGTCTCTTCCGTGTACCTCACGGACAAGAAATTAAACTGTAAACATTGTTTTCAATATGGCTCCTGCTGAAGTCTCAGTAGGTTTCTGTTGGTGGGTTCAAATGTCCACTTATGTAATTACATGCTGGACTTTGCTTCCCAACTAGCAGTGATGTCAGAATTTGTGACACAAGTATTAGAGCTACACAATATATATTACTATAAAGAAAAATACAAATTGACATTGCTATATTTAGTTTTATTATTGTGTTATATTATATCAAACCAAACAGTAATGTTGACCAGATGACTTGACTAGCTACATTAGGATAGAATTATTATTTCTAGAATGACTGGGGGATTTTGTTAAACTTCCAGAGGTAAAACTCACATAAATGCTATAGTTTATCAGTCCAGAGCTCAGACGATTAACCTGGCAGTCTGTGTCTTTCATCTTCCTCACCCTGTTAGCGACATGCCCTTCAATTTAAAGTTACTTTACCTTTATTGATAAATCTCTCTATAAAAGTAGTATTTATTTGACTAATCAAACTGTTGCATTTCAGGACGGATTGTTAAGTCAAACAACTTACTTACCAACTGCAAGATGCAGTCTGTGGTCAAAGCACTGCAGCCTGGTCTACTTGTTCAGGGTTTCAGCCTGACCGAGTACGGATTTTTTTGTCAACATCTACAATTCTACAATTTCACTTAGCAGATGCTTTTATGCAAAGCGACGTACATCTGAGAGCAGATACAACACAAGCAAGGATCTAATCAGGAGAAAACAATCTGGATAAGTGCCATAGAACAAGTTTAAGTGTGACAGGGCGTTGATGCCAACAGCAGGCTGTGTGGGAGGTAATGGGTAACATCCACCTATCTGTAGCCGAAATATATCAACCCAACAGTTTCTTTTAGTGACCAAATCTTTCATTTAGTTTTTTCTCTCCTGTTGTTCCGCCCTCAAAGTGTCTCTTTCAAATGAAGTTTTAAAAAAATGAGTCTGTCTGTCCATAAACCCTTAATGAGGAAACAAAGGCTTTTCTTTATTTTCTTTTCTTTACAAATAAAAACCTATTAATTCACGAACTGTTTCTTTGATTTATTTAATTATTTCCTTATTAATCTCTTTCAGGATTTGTTTCACAGCTGTATTTATTTATTTCATAGGGATATTCATTAATGAATTTGTGTATTTATCTAATCTTGAATTAAAAGGCCTTTCATACTACCCCTTCAGCAGATTAATTTAAAAGGTGTTTTCTCCTGTCAGACTCAAG